TGCCCAGCTCACTGCGCTCTCCCCCCCTTTCTGCATGACGCTCTATTTTATCGCCATGCGCCTGCCAGACCGCCTCGCTAGTGCTCGCGATCACTTTCTTAGCCAGCACCCGGGTGACCTCACTCTCACTGCCTTTGTCGACACCCTCACCGAGATCGAGACTCGCCAGCGCACTATCGCTCAGTCGAGCGGTGCGCCGGCAGTTTCTATCTTTCACGGTTGTGCCCCCTCCCAGTGTGCGTTCACTGACGTTTCGGCTGCGGTCGCCTCGGCGGCCCCTCTCACCGAGTCGGCTGGTGCGGTCCACCCGCAGCAGCGCTCGCGCCGCGGTGGCCGTGGTCGCCAGGGGGGTAGGGGTGGTGGTGGCAGTAGTGGTGGTGACGGTAATCCGCCTGCGGGGACTACCACTGGTGGGCAGGAGCAGCAGCCCCAGCCACAGCAGGAGAAGCCCCAGCCGCAGCCGCCGCCCCAGCAGCAGTTACCGTCCCAGCAGCAGTCGCCGCAGCAGTGGGCCCGTCTCCCGCCTGGTTGGCCCGGCACCTCCGGAGGTAGTGGCCGTGGTGGCGGCCCGCGCAGCTTGGCGTCTACCGGCGGCTCCGGTGCTGTCACCTGCCAGTACCAGCTTCAGACCGGGCCTCTTCGCGGCACTCTATGCCGCCGCCCGCACCCGACCGCCCGCTGTTTTCGCCGCCTCGACGATCTCTTTCGTCGTCGCTTTGGCCCGGCCCCGGACCTCCCCGACTGGCACAGCCTGCTCCGCCAGGGCGTGCCGATCTTTGAGTTAGACATGGATCAGCTAGGTGCTGCTTTGCATGCTTTGTATTCTGACACTTCTAGTTTTGCTGGATCTTATTACCCTGTGTACTCTAGTTTAGGTGTTGCACCACTGTGTAGCTTAGCCTCCCCTGCTGCGTCAGGCGTAGGACTGCCTAGGTTGCCTAGTCTAGTCGCTGCACCGGCTCCGTCCCCGGCCTCCGCCACTGCGTCGCTTTCCTTCACTCTCGACTCCGGTGCTTCTGCCTGCTTCTTCCGCGACCGTTCCACGCTCACGCCGCTTGCTGCACCTGCTGTTGTCTCTCTCGCTGACCCCTCTGCGGGTCCGGTCGTCGCGCGCAGTTCTACGTCCCTTCCCTGTCCGGCAGTTCCCTCAGGCTCCCTTACTGGCCTCCACGTTCCCTCGTTCTCCAGGAACCTGGTTGGTGTCGGCTGTCTCCAGGACCTCGGCGTCACCACCACGTTCCCCGGGCACGAGCGGTTCGCTGTCTGTTCTGAGGCTGTCTCAGGTTCCCCCCTTGCGACGTTCCCCCGGGACCCGGTGTCCGGTCTGTTTACCCTAGACACCGCTTCCCCCCCGGTTGGTGCGTCCTCCCAGGTCGCTGCAGCTTGCTCGTGTCGGTCCCTCGCTCACCCCTCCCTTCTCTGGCACCACCGCTTAGGTCACCCTGCTCTCCCGCGTCTGCGTCACATGTCCCAGCACGGTCTTGTCTTAGGTCTCCCTGCGTCGCTCCCTGCCCTTCCTCCCTAGACTGCGCCACCGTGCACGCCTTGCGTCGAGGGTCGGCTTCGCCGTGCTCCTCACTCCTCCTCGCTGCGTCCTGCTACTGCCCCCCTTCAGACCCTGCACTTGGACGTTTGGGGCCCTGCCCCCGTCCCCGGACCGCGCGGTGAGCGCTTCTTGCGTTCCACGTCTGGGGCTGCCTTGCTCACGTTCGTGCCTCTGGCACGGACAAGCTCACTGCCCGCACTGTCCCCTGTGTCTTCCTCGGTTTCCCCCTGGACTCGTCTGACTGGCTTTTCTACCACCCGCCGTCTCACCGCTTCCTCCACTCTCGTGACGTCACCTTTGACGAGTCCGTCTCCTTCTACCGCCGCTTCCCTCACCGAGGTCTCCCAGTTGCCCCCCCCCTGTTCCTTGCTCCCTCTCCCCCGGTAGCCCCTGCCCCTCTCCCGCCTCGTCCTGCCCCGTCTGGTGTCTCCCACGTCACTCCCCTCCCGTCGGTTGTCCCCGTTGAGGAGTCTGCTGACTCTGGTGGTACCCCAGATCCGTCCTTACCGCGTCCCCCTTCCCCGGTGCCTCCGCCCCCACTGTCGCAGTCGCCGACCCCGCTGCCGCCGCCGTCGCTGTCGCTGCCGCAGCCGTCGCCGCTGTCGTCACCGCCGCAGCCATCGCCGCCGCCGCCGCTGTCGCTGCCGCAGCTGTCGCCGCTGTCGCCGCCGCCGCAGCCGTTGCCGCCACTGCCGCCGCCGCTCTTGGCCCCTGGGGGTGCTGGTGTGGAGGAGGGTGTTCGTCCTGCGGCTTCTGGGGGTGCCGCTGGTGTTGGAGGGGGTTCTCGCTCTTGGGGTGTTGGTTCTGGGGGTGCTGCTGTTGAGTGTTCTGCCGACGGTCGTTCTGCCTCTGCTGGTCCGAGAGTTCCGGCACAGCCGTCGTCGCCGCCGGTTTCTGCTCTCCGCCTGCTCGGCCTTCCCTCACCGGACCGCGCGCCGGTGTCTCCCCCACCGCCTGCTGACCTCCCTGTCTACGGTCCTGTGTTCCCGCCGCCGGACTCGTCTCCGGCCCGTCTTCCTCCTCGTTCCCCTCCTGTGTCACCTCCGCTGTCCCCTGACCCTACCCCTCCGTCTCACGTTTGGGCTCGCCGTCCCCCCCGTGCTCGTCCCGTCTCTCCTGTCCTGCCCACCCACCCTATGTTGCTCCGTTCCCGCTCGTCTCGTCCTCCCCTCCTCCCGTCCCCTCCTCCCTCGTCCCTTGCTGTTGCACCTCCTCCGTTCTCTGACTACCTCCGTGCTTCTCGTCCCCTTGTCCCTCGGGTCCTTGCCTCTCTTGTTACCGACCCTGCTGTTCCTGTCTCGCGCCTTGACGCGCTTGTCGCCGCTGTCGCTGACTTCGCTTCTACCCGCCGCCTTGACTACGCTACCGCTCTGGTCTCTGACCCTGCCCGTCCTCTGTCCGTCGGGGGTGCTCCTGCCCTTGGCAGTGACGTCCTAGAGGACAGGCAGTACGAGCTGGCTTTCCTTTCCGAGGCTGCTCCCCATCTCTGCTCCATGCTCCTAGTCCCTGAGGGTGACCCAGACGCCTTCGACATCCCGACCCCTCGCACCTACGCTGAGGCCACCTCGGGACCTTGGGCCTCTCAGTGGATAGCTGCCATGGAGCAGGAGATGGCATCTTGGAGGTCCACAGGCACTTACGTCGACGCAGTTCCCCCGCCTGGGGTGAACGTAGTCGATGGTCGGTGGCTCTTCAAGGTGAAGCGCCCCCCTGGAGAGCCGCCTGTCTTCAAGGCGCGCTACGTGGCCAGAGGTTTCAGTCAGCGCGAGGGGGTTGACTTCTTCCAGACCTTCGCCCCGACCCCGAAGATGACCACTCTTCGGGCGCTGCTACACGTAGCAGCACAGCGTGACTACGAGCTTCACTCCCTCGACTTCTCTACTGCCTTTCTTCAGGGCAGCCTACACGAGCAGGTCTACCTGCGCCGACCACAGGGCTTCACTGATACCTTCCCTCCTGGGACCCAGTGGCTTCTCAGGCGCCCGGTCTACGGCCTGCGTCAGGCTCCCCGCGAGTGGCACGACACGCTACGTGCCACGTTAGCAGACCTGCAGTTCTTTCCGTCCTCTGCTGACCCTTCACTGTTTGTGCGTTCCGGCCAGACTCCGTTCTACATCCTTGTCTACGTAGACGACCTGGTCTTCGCTACTCCTGACAGGGACGCACTGGCCTCTGTGAAGGCTGAGCTGCTGAAGAGACACACCTGCACTGACCTTGGAGAGCTGCGTCGCTATCTTGGCCTGCAGATCTCCAGGGACAGAGCAGCACGCACCATCACTCTGACCCAGTCACACTTGGTGCGTCAGGTCCTTCAGAGGTTCGGTCTTCAGTTCTCCTCCGCACAGCCCACACCTCTACCCGTAGACCATGGGCTCTCTGCTCCCGTTCCTGAGGAGCCAGTAGAGCCCAGTGGCCCCTACGCAGAGCTGGTGGGTTGCCTCATGTACCTGATGACTTGCACGCGCCCAGATCTCGCATACCCTCTCAGCATCCTGGCTCGCTTTGTGGCTACAGGTAGACACCGACCTCAGCACTGGTCTGCCGCTAAGAGGGTTTTGCGTTATCTTGCTAGTACATCAGGCATGGGGTTAGTGCTAGGAGGACGCATGCCAGTGGTCCTTACTGGGCACACAGACGCTTCTTGGGCAGACGACGCTGAGACGCTCAGGTCGTCACAGGGCTACTGTTTCAGCCTTGGTTCGGGTGCTATCTCTTGGAGATCCACTCGCTCGTCGTCTGTGGCTCAGTCTAGCTGTGAGGCTGAGATCTACGCTGGTGCCATGGCGGCACAGGAGCTCCGCTGGCTGACCTTCTTGCTCACAGACTTAGGTGAGCGGCCTAGCTCTGCCCCGGTCCTGTACGCTGACAACAGGGCCATGATACTCCTGTGTCAGGAGCCTCGGCTTGAGGGCAGAGCGAAGCATATCCAGCTGCGGTACTTCCTCCTGCGCGAGCTACAGCAGCGCCGCCAGGCCCGCGTAGTTCACTTGGCCTCAGGTGCCAACACAGCTGATATCTTTACTAAGGCGCTTGCGCCTAAAGATCATCAGCGGCACTGTGTACAGCTTGGTCTTGTTCCTGTAGCTGCTCCCCTGTTAGGATCCTGATTGTGTACTCTCTATTATATATGCTTGTCAGACTGGCCTTGTGGCCTTACCTCCGGTGGCTGGACTAATAGTGCCACCCTGGCTTGCTTCAGTTTTGGTTGTATTCTTGCTGACTGGTCTCCAGACCCCTGCCTCAGTGGTTGGACTAGTAGTGCCGCCCTGAGTTGTTTGCTTCTTGTTTAGTTTCACCCCTTGTCTAGCCTAGGGGGTGTGTCAACTTAATCATATTATCTGTGTAGAAGTTATAGGCTAGACTGAGGTATGCTTCTAGTGAGTACAACCAACTAGTATTTGTTCTAGGTTTCCACTTCTAGTAATCATTCGTTCTCACTTTGACAATGATACCATGTTAGAATACGAGAATGAATAGAACAAGAGAGTACAGGGAAGATATAGGGTTGGAGTTGTACCCTCGAAGAACACAAACCCATCTAGCCTATAACTGCCACATATAACCATATGTATAAGTTGACACAGAGAACCAACAACTCAATTAGCCACCGCTCATGGCCGTTGTGGAACACTATCAGAACAGAACTTCGAAAATGCTATCGCAAGTGCACGTTTAGGGAGTGACTGTCTGAACGCCCTGCCCAGGTATGCCCACTGACTCCAAGCACAGCACTGGCACTTGAGGGGTTCTGCAGCAGACGAGGCCAAAAACGCCGATCAGAGCAGAGGTTCGTGTAGCACACAATGGAAGAGATAGGGCGAGGGAGCAACATGATGGTGAGGAAGGCTTACAGATGGGACGGGAGGCTACTTTGGCTTGCACCCGTTGAACTCATCACCGCCCTTGGAGCACTCGCACCCCACCTCCCGGTGATCGCTGGTCTTGATGCACGTGGAGTGCGCGGGGCACTTGGCATGCTCACAGATGTTGCCTGCACCACACCACAACACATGGTGCGAGGCCATGGAGTGAGAGGCTGCGAATGGCAGTAGGGCACAGCAGGGCAGCAGCAGGGCAGCAGCAGGGCAGCAGCAGGGCACAGCAGGGCAGCAGCAGGGCACAGCAGGGCAGCAGCAGGGCACAGCAGGGCAGCAGCACGGCACAGCAGGGCACAGCAGGGCAGCAGCAGCAGGGCAGCAGCAGCAAGGTACAACGGGGCACAGCAGCAAGGTACAGCGGGGCACAGTAGCAGGGCACAGCAGGGCAGAGCAGCACGCACCGAGGACGCAGCGGATGGACTTCACTGATGGCGCCATCTTGGTGACACTGCTCACATGCGCACAGGGGGAGGGGCGCATGGGGAGCGGACAGGGGGGCATGCGAGCAAGGGTGCAGGGGGAGGGGGGGCATGCGAGGAAGACTACAGGAGCTCCTTTGAATGCCGGAAAGAATGGAAGGGCCCAGGGTGGAGTGCTCACCTCATGAACCCCGTGAACGTCTGCTTGTCCGCCGGCTCCCCTGTGCAGTCGCGCGAGGGGAAGAAGTGCACGGCGTCGCACACCGTGCGCCACTCCGAAAACACGTTCCACCACACTAGCGCGTCCGCCACGCCACTCCCCCCCGCGCTCTCAGGCAAGCTCATGCAGCGCGCCCAGTCGAAGTAGATGGCGGTGGGTTGGGTGAGGGACCCCAGGAGCACGACGGTGCCGACAGGCAGCTCCGCGTCCACCACCCGCGCCGACCCGCCCGCCCGCCTCGCTGCCAGCGACACGCGCACCTCGCTCGCTGCAAACAAGGCACGCGGGGAACAGAAAAGGCAGCAAGGATTTGCTCTTGACTGTGCGCGCGATGACCCGCCGGTGGGAATCGAGAGGTCGTGGGCTCCGCGGGTGCGGCGTGCTGGGTGGCGAGCAGCGTCGGGGGGCGTACCGATGAGGATGGCCACGACGACCAGCGCCGCCACAGTCCTGGCTTCTCCCATGGCGCTCCACGCGGCGAGCGACAATGAGTTCACTTAGCAGGGGGGGGGGGAGCACTAGCCTAGGTCGATGCGGCGATTCTACACTGAGAGAGTCGAATTGGAGAGTTTGGATTGGAGAGTTGGATAAAGAGCCGATACAACCCAACAGCAGCGATGCGAGCTTATATACAGACTGATACGGCGGGATGCCATCCGGGAGAGTAGCGCTGCGATGGCGCTGCAGTTCCTCGGAGGTTGCCGACTAGCGCTGCTGCTCGTCGACGACCGTCGGCCCATGATTTCCAGTGCACCGCACTCATGCCTGAGCTCGACCCGCTGCCTCCCCTAATTTCGTCTCCGCATCACGGTTTCGGAGGAGTTTCCGGCACTCAGGGCGATTCCAGGGATCGAGCGGTGTAGGGGAGACCAGCGATGGCAGCCGTGCCGTAGGTGTTGCGTGGCCTTGCCATGCAAAGCGCGGCCGACATGGCCGCTTCCGGATTGGTCCGATACGAGAGTCCATAAAACTTTTAGGGCAACCACTCACACGGACTGTTGGTGTGCGACCATATTATTCTCGCTATTGCCTACTATTGTTACAAACTAAATCAACCTCAAACTACATTGGCGCAAACCATAATACCTTAGTAAAGGTAGGAGATATGTGTAAGGAATTTTCCATTCCTTAGCGCGCTACACCTCTATCGCGTACACCGATCAGCGCCGAAGTCTAAAACAAGAGGCAACGAGATCGTCTTAGGTTTGCGGAGCATTTCATGATGAGACTTTATTATACATAAAATGTTTTATTTCCATCACAACAAACATTTGATTTTTATTTCACAAACTTGAAAAAAAAACCAGCCTGATCGATTGCAATAGGTTGCTCCGCAACCCAAAAAAAAAAAAAAAAACGCACTCTGAGCCAACCTCCTCGAAAAAAAAAAAAAAAAAAAAAGTCTTAAGAGTCTTCAGCCAAAATTTCAGTACTTCGAAACGTACAACTCGAAAAAAGTCTGATTTTCTCAGGGTCTAGCGAGTACAACTCGAGTAAAAAAAAAAAAAAAAAAAAAGAGAGAACTTAGCGAAACTTTTAAGGGTACTGACGACAATGCCTTTGTTAAATTACATACCGTATTCCCCCGTATATAAGACCCTAGGATATTGTCAAAATTTCATTAAAAAAACGTAAGGGTATTAAGAGTAGGCTGGAAAAATATAACGCCCATATCTTATGTAAAATGCAAAATGAATTTGGGTTGTAACAGGCTCTATGAGAAGCATGAAACACAATGTAGCTTTTAGCGAGGTTCGGATGACAGTCACGCACCTCCACTAGGACCAGCCTGTCAGTTATGTGTTGGCATTCTGTATTTGTGGCCAATCGGAGTCAGCCGCACCTGCAAACACGATAGGGAAGCAGCCTCATGCTGCTGACACAGATTCATCGACGGCCAGGGGGGCATTATAGTGCCAGCCTGACATCGACGTGCCAAAGTGCTTGACCAGATTCCTTTAGGGAATCTGGTAGATGGGACCAGCATGCAGTGTCCCATCGCGTTTTCCAAGACCGTGCACGACTCGGCTTTGGGGGTCGGCCACGGTTCTTCTCCAACCTCTTCTTGCCGCATCGTCATTTTTGCTTTTCGATCGGCTCGCTCACTCTCAAAACCTGTCGCAGTGCCCGGGCTCTCTAACAGAGGCTCGGGCATTGCTCAATGTCGCTTAGCACCGATACCTTTTCGTCTAGCATTCGATCCATGGCCGCTCAAGCAGTTAGTGGTGTTGCCTTGTTGCGACCTCATCGCCCTCAGTTTGGGAACCAGACTTTGCTTAGGCCGTTCCCACCAGTTCCACCGTCTCCAAGAACTTTTATGGCAGCTCCCGCACCTCCTGCTCCACCTGCCCCGCCCGCACCACCTGCGCCACCTGCTCCTCCTGCCCCACCGGCGCCGCCCGCTCCTCCTGCTCCACCTGGTCATTGGTCGCCAATAGCCACTCGTCCCCCGGAGTGGGACAACGCGTGGCAAGATGACGATGACGAGCTCTACTGGGAGGAGGCCGCCGACGGCGAGCCTGAACCTCCCCGCCCGCTTCCTCGCGTTGTCGTTCCCCGTTTCCCACAAGCACAACGTCGTCCTACCATGCCCAGGGTTAACCATGATGCTGCACCTCCCTCCCCCAGGGTTCGCAGGATGAATCGAAAGCGAGTCGCGCGGACGGCTACCGAGAAGCTCTACTGGCTGGCGAAGATGGAGGCTGATCCGGATTTGTCCAAGCGCTCTCTCGCTCGCATGGCTGGAGTGCAACCGTGCCAGATTCGTGACTGGAAGAGAAACAAGGCTCGCCTCACTGCTGCTGCTGGTTGCAGGCGTCGTCTTATCGGCTCCGGAAGAAAGTCGAAGTACCCGACGATGGAGCGAGAGATTTACAAGAAGTTCCTTGGACACCGCGTGCGTGGGCTAGCTGTCTCGATCAGCACGCTGCAGAAATGGAGCCGGAAGTACATGAGGAAGCACCACCCCGGCGTCGACTGGCGTGCCTCCTCGCGCTGGACGTTCCGGTTCCGCGCCCGCTGGGGATTGACGAAGCGTGTGAAGACAAAGATGGGCCAACGCATGACCGCCGGTTAGCTGTCGTCGGTGTATCTCGTGGTCTTTCCCCTCTTGCCACTCTATTTCCATGTTGCGTTGAAGTGACACCTGTTACAGTCCACTGAGTTGCTTCCTGGCCGTTTATTAATGATGCTTTGTTTTCTTGTATCCTGTCTTTTTACACTGGCAGACTGTGAAGCCAAGGTTGAGAAATTCTGGGAGTTCGTTCGGCAACTCCGCATGCTGAACGAGTACCCCGACGACCTGATTATCAACGCCGATCAGACGCCACTCTACCTGGAGATGCCGCAGGAAACCACCCTCGAGGTCCGCGGTTCAAAAACAGTTCATGTGCGGACGGCCGGGTACGAGAAGGAGAGATTGACCGTCATGCTGGCAGTCACAGCAAGCGGCAAAAAACTAAAGCCGTATGTCATCTTCAAGCGGAAAACTCTGCCGCGCATCCGAGTCCCACCAGGTAATAATAATTTCTAACTATTTACGGTTGCGTTTAGTAAATATTCTTTCACCAAGATAACGATGACCACTAATTATCTCGCTTTATTTGCATGTGCAGGGATTGTCATCAAAGCCCAGGAGAAGGGCTGGATGGACGAGGCGCACGTGAAGGATTGGGTCACCACCGTCCTCGTGCCATTCCTGCACCATCCCTGCGAGGCGTGGTGGCCGTCAGAAGGCGCTGGTGGTCCTCGACTCATACAAGGGACACCTCACTGAGGGAGTGTCTCAGTTGATGCGCCTGTTCAAGCTCTCCCGTGCAGTCATTCCCGGCGGATGCACGCCTATCGTACAGCCTTTGGACGTGGCAGTCAACCGTTGCGTCAAGGCGCACGTTCGTCGATCATACAACGAGTGGTTCGAAGAGTTCGGCTGCGAGTCGACCACTACAGCTGGCGAGCACATGTTTTGTTGTCGACGTGTTTTCTGTGATTAGTCTTTAGTCATGTGATTCACATAGCTTGCGTTTGCCCCGTTATTTACTCAAGACTAACTATCATGCCCTGTCTGTTTCTGCCTGGCAGGGTACCTGCGCAAACCACCGGCCGAGCTTGTGTTGCAGTGGATTGCCGCATGGGCTGCGGTGCCGGCAGAACTCATCCGCCGCGCGTTCAAGACGTGCGGCATCTCCAACGCGACCGACGGCACAGAGGACGAGGTGATTCTTGCCCACATGCGGGACGGCGCGGAGGTCGAGGTAATGGATGATGTGCACGCCGAAATGGAGGAGACTGGGGCGCAGAATCCCTTCTACGACGTGGAGTACATCGAGCCCAGCGCTGCGCCAGACGTGGAGGACGACGAGCCAGATGTGGAGACCGACATTGATGCTGCGGCTTCTGCCTCATCCTCTGGAACGCCGCAGGCGGATGTCGAAGGAGCAACAGCAGCAGCAGCAGCAGCAGCAGCAGCTGCAGACTCGTCTTTGGACACGGCAGCATGTGCAACAGCAAAAGCCTCAGCAACAGCAGCAACAGGAGCAGAGGTCCCTGTTGGCGAAGATGACGGAGAGATGCCGGCGGCGGAGGTTCTTGCTGGCCTAGCTGCGTCCCGCTGGACTGATGATTTCGACTGGGATGATATTTCCTCCGACGATGAAGATGCCGAGGTGTGGCATGCTGGAGAGGAATACTATGAGGAGGAGGAGGATTGATAGTAGAGACGAAAATATTGACTAGAATTGATGTCATATTGTAGACGCAGTAGAGTACGCCATGTGGTAGGTGTAGCTAGCATTGGTAGATAAGCTCTGAGTAATTTGCTGCAACTGATGCTCTAACAATATGAAAAAACGAGGATCTAACTTGAAAAAACGCTGGAGGGTGTTATGTACAATGCAAGGTCTAAAAAACGGGTGCTCTCAAAAATGTACCATATCATAAGCTATGACCCGCATATGCCACCCATGGAGTGACTATTTCGGCGGGTGTTATGTACGGGGGAATACGGTATGTTAGTATATAATTGTAGGCTTGGTAGTGGTTACTGAACATTTCTGTAGAGGGTACAACACCCCTCCTTGTATCCCTCTCTCTTCTTTTCTAGTTCTCTTTTCTCTCACCAACTTTCCTACCCTAAAACCTCACGCCATTTCCATGGCTCCTATCTAGATCCTGTCAAACATAGCTTGCGCAGTTACTGTAGACTATATATGTTTGTGCCTTAGTGGGTACAACACTCTAGACTATATTGCCTTGTATCTCACCACTCTAGTCATTCATTCTTTCTGTTATGGTATCATAGTAGGTTAGGTTCCCCCCTAACCCGCCCACGCTTCCGCCCCCTAGGCCCTAGCCGCCCCCCTGGCCGTCGCGCTCGTCCCTAGCCGGCCCCCTGGCCGTCGCGCTCGTCCCTAGCCGGCCCCCTGGCCGTCGCGTCCACCCCTAGCCGGCCCCCTTGCCGTCGCGCCCGTCCCTACAAGGGCCCCTGGCCGTCGCACTCGTCCCTAGCCGGCCCCCTGGCCGTCGCGTCCGCCCCTAGCCGGCCCCCTGGCCGTCGCGCCCGTCCCTAGCCAGCCCCCTGGCCGTCGCGCTCGTCCCTAGCTGGCCCCCTGGCCGTCGCGCTCGTCCCTACCAGGCCCCCTGGCCGTCGCGCTCGCCCCTAGCCGGCCCCCTGGCCGTTGCGTCCGCCCCTAGCCGGCCCCCTGGCCGTTGCGCCCGTCCCTAGCCGCCCCCCTGGCCGTCGCGCTCGTCCCTAGCTGGCCCCCTGGCCGTCGCGCTCGTCCCTACCAGGCCCCCTGGCCGTCGCGCTCGTCCCTAGCCGGCCCCCTGGCCGTCGCGTCCGCCCCTAGCCGGCCCCCTGGCCGTCGCGCCCGTCCCTAGCCAGCCCCCTGGCCGTCGCGCTCGTCCCTAGCTGGCCCCCTGGCCGTCGCGCTCGTCCCTACCAGGCCCCCTGGC